TATTTTTTAATATATATTTAACAGTAGTAAATTTTTTATAATCAATGAGTTAGTTATATATATTCAATCAATCTAAAAATTGATTTTTAAAAATATTCAATGCATGATCTATATGAATTGAACACTAAATTTAATAATTAGTTTTTAAAAATATTCATTAAAATGTAGTGTTTTTAAAGTTAAAATTTTTATTTTTTTTGAAAGACATGGCTTATATACATTATCCTCATATTTTTCTTACCCTTTGAAGTTTTTAAATATTGTATTTATCATGTGAAACTTTAAGTTGATCTCATTTAACTCTTTAATCTCTATACTTTTCCATACTTAACAACTCAAGACAAAATATAATTTTTTATATTTTTATTATAACCACCATTTCAAATACAAAGAGAACAATATACTTAGTGAATGAAATTTTTTTCAGTTAAAACCCACAACTTTAAGATTAAGGCATGGGATATTAGTTTCCAATAGAGTAGTAGTGGAGCCAGGAATATTGCCTACAGGACCAGATTTTCAAATGTTAAAATAATATATTATAATTCTAAAAACTTCCTTTTATATCATGATTAAAATAATACTCAACTAGTTTTTATCGAGACATAAGATCTACCTGCCTAAGTCCCCTTTTACCTAAACAGAAATCATAAGGTTTTCCATTTAGCACAACAGAGAATTTTGTAGTCCTCAGGCACACCATTATCCATTTCACAAATTTCAATGGAACGTTCAATGCAATGAGTAGACTCTTGTAAGTTGTGACATCCCTCTTTGATAAACCAATCGCTTATCAAGTGTAGAAATGTGTTCTTTAAAATATTAATTTAGATACTCTTTTTAAATAAGTAGATTTAAAATTGTATCATTTTTAAGTTAAAATCAAGCAATAAAGTGGCAGCACGGTATTAGTGTGGTTGTTGGAGAGAAATTTTAGAGTGTGTAGGATGAAAAGAAAGAAATATTTACAGGAACAAAATGTTTGTTTACATATAATTTCCAAGCTCAAAGATTAGTGTAAAATAGATTGAAAATTTCAAAGCCAAACTAAAGTTTTGGGTAAATAAAGATTTGTCTTACTAATACTTGGAAGCATAGCTCATTGTTAACATGGGATATCTACCGCAAAAAAGTCTTAGGAACAATAGTTATTCTTCAGTGCTACTATCTAAAATGATGGAAATAACACTATGAGTTCACAGCTCAATAAGTATAATTCTTAACCTTAAATTAAGCTAATAATTTTTATTTAATACTTTATGTAGAAAAGTTCCTTTATTTTTTAATTGTACTAGTCTTATTGAAAATTGAGGCATTGTAGCCACAAAATGATCACACAAACACAGCATATTAAACAGAAATAACACAAATTATAGAGTCCATTGAATGTGCATGCACTCACATTAGGTGCTACAGTTAATCATAGCACTTACCTATTGCATAGAAATCCACTAGTTCACCGGTCTAACTCCCAAACCTAGACTAGGGTTCAAACTCTCTATAGTTCTAATGCAATTATATCACAGAATCATATATAGTACATAATCATGCATAACAGGTTCAATGTTTACTTAATATGGTCTATAGAATCAATAGAAACAAGCTACAATGTAGTGCCTAAGTCATTTACTCAAGATAGAATCCAGAAAATGTGATACACATAACATAATCTCAAAACTTGAACTCATTTAAGTACAAAAAATTCGTAGTTTCAACACATGAAATTTCTAGTTCATTTTATTTCTGTATTTATTTTAGCCTCTATGTTATATAACTTAATCTACAACACCTTAATTTCTTGTGTATATTCTATCTAATTTATTTATCTTCTTATTCTATTTGACAACTTAGACTTAAAATTAAAAATCACACTTACCACACACACTTATTCAAAATTCTGAACTTGGTAGAATTCCTTAAGAATCTCTAAGTCTACCCAGCATATTTGCACCTTCTATCTCATTCACTTTTGGGCCAGCTTTTAGAAAATAGAAAACATGGCTTAAGTTAGTGTTAAGGACACATACTGCCGGCCAAGTGGGTTTTAATTGCTTCTCACTTGGCAAAACGATGGCTTAGAACACTTGTTATCACATAAACAGGTTATTAGACAACCGAACTCCACTAATCTGAATCCTAAAACAGACACATATACTGTAATATGATAAAATAATATGCAATCACAATTAATAATTACCACAGATTAGTCTCTAATTTTGTATGCAGTTAAGGACTCTAACTTTTAACTCCATACAATTAAGAACTTAATTTTTAATTAATTACAAATAAAGATTGGAATATCACAACTTTCTATAAACACCAATGGACTGGATCATAAGTCTTAGATCAATTTTCATCTTACACGTCAGAGTGCCCCCACTCTTATGATAATTTCAAGTCCTAGCAGCCAAGTGTAGGGGTCGTAATTCACCTCCCTTTCACAAAGGCAGCTTTGATTACCACTAATAAGTAAACCCATAACATCTGTCATCCTTTTGGCCAAGAGTTTAGTAATTACCTTATAAATTATACTGGAGCAAGAGATAGGCCTGTAATCTTACACCGTTTTAGGACTGTTAACCTTTGGAACTACAGTTATGTTAGTAGCACTAAGGATAAATATGAAATTTTATCATTTGATTATTGCTTTTTTATTTTATTGGAAAAAAATAATCATATAAAGTTGAACTAGGAGCAAAGATGGCAAATAGTGTCAAAAACTTATAAAATTACAATTATTTAGGAAATCACTCGTATATAATATTATAAATGTTCACTCATTTAATGATATTTAATAATTGTAAACTTAACATCCTCTTGGCTTGCCATTAAATTGCAAGTTTATTATGAGTGATTTCTCCCTAATACAATCAAATAAGTTGTTAATATCTTAGCTCATTATTCCCATATTGAGTCATCAGCCTTGCCTATTGCCATACATCAGATAAAATCACAAAGGTACATTGCAGTAGAGAGTCTATCTTACCCAATAACAAAATTGACCTCTCGTACCTTTTCCCTTTTGTAACTTATTAAGTTTTGATTGAATTATAGCTGTGTCTTGTTTAGGCAATCTGAATGGGTACAACATCATTTTCTTCAATTTGATCAAAAATTTGGGTTGTGCTTGTACCCTGAAAGTGTTCCATTTTTTTCAGTTTCTGCAATCTCTGATAAACCCATGTACGCCCTCTCAGCTCCAGCTGAAACCATTCAGGTCAAATTGCTTGTAACCTGAAGCACCATCATGTTCTCCATGGACATTGAGATCCAGTTTTGTTGAAAAGTATGGAAGATTATATCCATGTGAAGGTTTTTCAGGTTCTCCTTTCTTTCCCTTGAATTTCCCTTCAGAAAAGCTGTTGTTGTTTCCATTCCCCGTTTGTCCTTGGAGTCCCACACTCATGGATAAATCATTGGAGTTTCTTTCCTCTCCCTTGCTAATGGAAGACAGGAACATTTTGTTCTCCTTCATATCTTCACACCATTTTAATTCAGTCTGAGGCAACAACGTCTCTTCTGTGATTTTAAAACACATCCCATTGTTGTGGATTTCTGGGTCTTTTTGGGGCACTTCACAAGAGGTCAAACAACTATCCATTGAGCAATCTGGTGGTGGGGTTGTTTGTGTCTGCTGAGGACAAAATCCTTGTAGCTCTTTAAGATCTGAAAATGCAGAATTTAGGCATTGGGTGGATACTTTGGAAACTAATTCAGAAAGCTGAACTTTAGCAGCTTCAAGCCCTACAGATCCCAAGTTTTGCCTTCCAAGAGTTTCCTGAGCTTTCTCCAACACCGCCTGTAAGTATTTCCCTTGTGCTTCAATCCGTAGTTGCAAATGTCTCTGTACCTGTGTTTATTTCAAAATAATTTT